ACTACCAAATGGGAACCAGGGAGGCAAAAGTGCTAATGACGATGGGAAGGAAGGGGGCGGGGTGACCTTCGGGTTGAACCAGTTAGTGTTAGGTATGGTTTGGAGACTGAAGCGTTTTTGCACAATAGAGGAGAAGAGAATTGCATTCGGGGGTTGCCCCATGAGCTACCTGATCTATATGGAGCAGTGGAAGGAAGGTCTCCTGGCTACAGGCATGAAGGGGGACCTTGACTGCCAAACTGAGGAGCTAGAACTTATCTAGAGGCAATTGGGAGCCATTGAGAGTTTTTGAGCAAGAGTGTGACAGGGCTATGGTCGGTTATGCCTTTATTCTCAGCAGAAGGAAAACGTTGGGCGTCTTTGTACCGCATCTCTGAAGACTGTTCACCTTTGAAGCATAATCGAGCGCGAAGGGGGTTGGGGAAGATGGTATCGAAATTCTGAGGAAAGGAGGGAGCTGAAGCGGATGAGGGGCTTTGAAAGATGACCCGCAAAGGCGGTAGCTGCCAGCCGCCAGAGCCTGGGGAACAGCAGCAGGGTGCGTCGAGTGCTCTGTGGCTCTGGACCCTGTGCCGGGGAGGAGAGCTTGTCAGTGAGGCGGGGTGATAAGTAAGGCAAACTTGCTGGGAGCTCCCACGCATGGTTGTCTTAGGTCGATGTTCTGCCAGGAGCGGGAGCACAAGGTATAACAGATCAGCCTCAGCCCTGATTAGTCCAGAAAGATTTCCCAGGGTTAGTCTAGAAAAGCCCAGGGTTTCAGCTGGGGAGTAGGAGGCAGGCCGGGGAGGATTGGCAGGGTGAGGGACACACGGGCTCTCTCTGAAGCACTTTGTGCTACACTGTCCCGCTCATAATCCCAGGCCCCTTCCACACCGGGCCCCTGCCCATCAGCAAGGACGTATGACACCACAGCTACAGGGTAGCAAGACATAACTCTGGTAGCATTCTCTGTGATGATTAAAACACGTGCCCCCGGGGCGGGGGGCGGATAGAGAGTACAAGTCATCACGGCTCTCTGTCCCAGCCCACAATCTCTGCCGGGCTCTCGTCACAGAATTCCCTAAATCCCCCAGTGTGTCAACTCCTTTGTCTCTGAAGGTGGTTCCAGAATTTCTGCGTAGAGAGGACTTGGGGTGAACAACCCGGCCGAGAAGTATTACTGTGGAGCTGACCTTGACTCTGTGTCCGCATAGCTAGTGCGGTGTTTTTATTCAGACTGACTATTCATTTGGGATGGCTTGGGGAGAGATTGGGGAGCTAAATCCACCCCACGCACCACAAGCCACCCCTTGGCGCTCCCCAGGGACATAGAGATAGGAAGGAGCAGCTTGTATGTATAGACTGGTGAACGTTGGTGCCTTCGAAACTGAGAATGTCACGGACAGGTGGGCAGGTACGGACACAGGCTCTTGAGGGGCAATGACACAATGGAGCCTGTTGGAGCAGAAGGAAAACTGGACCAGGAGTCTGGAGTTGGAGCCATGGGTCCCGCCTCTTGGGCAAGTTTCTTACCCATTCTGAGCCCCATGCTTCTCACCTGAGACATCTACAAAGTGGCCACCTTGGCATTGGCACATGTTAGCCATTGAGTAAATATTAGTTTCCGTCTCCTGCCCACTCCCTCTCCCTAACCCTGATCCTCCTGCAAGGGTTCTTAAGGGAGAATGAGCTCATGTAAGCGAATGTTCTTTACAAAGCCTGAAGTATGGGTTTTTTTTGTTTTTTTTTTTTTACTTTCTCAATTCTAACATTTCCTCTTAGATTGTTTCATTAATTGCTTTCGTAATTACGGCACCTGCTACCCTTTATTAGGGTACATATTAGGCACATACTGTGATTATTACGTAAATATGTGATGCAGCTAATTACTGCATTACACTTACGCTTAATTTCGATCAACACAATTCCATGAGGCAGGTATGACTATGTCCTCGTTTTACAGACAAGGAGTCTTCACGTTCCTTGTAACATAAAGAAGAAAAAAAGTGAAACCATCGGCAGTGACATCACCCCAAGTTAATCATTGTTAACTGGCGCATTTCTTGCTTTTCGTTTGTCCCGTGCATACACATATGTACATAGGTATTTTTTAAAATTGGGATCCTATTCAGTAAATCTTTTATCTTGTATTTAAGTGTAACATTACATGATGGGGTTTTTTTGGGGGGGTTTGTTTGTTTTCTTGGTCTAAAATAGTTCCACCATGCTTTATTCTGCAAAGACTTTGAAGTATGCAAGAAAGCATACAGTGGAAGAATTTTTAAAAAATGTAAATAAAACTTCAGAACCAGGGTAAAGAAGAACAGAAATATGGAAAGCAAATGGATCTAGGAAAGTTGCTACAGGGGAGCTTTGTCTTCATGTAGGTTCCTTTCAGAAGCAGACACTGAGTCAAGAATTTGAGAGGATCGGCAGGTGCAGGGGACACAGGCAGGTGAAGGAGGAAGTGACCCAGAAAGGGAAGTAAGTCACCGTGGGGTCTGCTGTTAGGGCAGGAACTGTAGTTGGCTACCGACACTCAATCCCAGGTGGAAGCTTGAAACAATGCAAAGCTCGTGGCCCAGAATGACCCTAGGTAAGGGTACCAGGGTATCTCTGTACCCACACCTGTCGGGAATTGGTTAAAGTGGCTTGGAGAGCAGGGAGAGCACAAGAATAATTCCCAGGTAGGGATTTCCCCCACCATCCCAAAGTGGAGCGGTTTTTGCTTTTTTTTTTTTTTTTAAGTTTGAGTTAACAGTACAGAGCCTGACGCGGGGCTCTGAGCCTAATCTGTTCAAAGTCGAGGCTCAACAGACGGAGCCACCCAGGCACCTCCCCGGTAGGGATTTCTCACGAAAGATCTAGAACAAGTAAAACTGAGTTCCATGAAGGCAAAACCATGGTAGGGGGGGGGGGAGAACAGCATTTCTTCTGAGGAATGTGGTGGGGATTTGCTGAGAAAGAGCATATGGGGAAATACTGACCTGTTGGTGACACTTGCTGAGGGTTGGACAGACAGCTGTTTAATTTTGAGTAGTGTATGCATTTGTCAGAACTCAGTCTAATAAGGCACTTAAGATCTGTGCATTTACTGTAAGGGCACTGAAAAAAAATCTGTAAATATTGAACTCTCTCAATGATATGTAGGGAAAGGTACTGGCCAGCTGGGGAGGTGGTTGCACTGACGTCTGCCTTACTGTGAAATGAACCAACGTAGGTGGCTGAAGGATGGAAAGAGAGTCAAAAAATGATAACCAAGTTATAAAACGTTCATTGTAAGAATCTAGTGGTGGGTATATAAAAATCCTTCTAACCTATGTTTGAAATTTTCATAGTAAAAATAAAATTGGGTTTGACTTACTCCCATTGTATACATGTTCCATACTCATCTGTTTCACCCCAAAGCTTCCGCCCCCAATAAGTTAAATAAAACAAGGCATTCAGGAGTCGTAACGAGGGATGGTAGATGGATGGAACTGAGCCTGTGTTTATTCTCTGCCCTGAGTTTGGCGGGTGATACGGGATCTGAGCTTTGGGACTACTTTCTCGGGAGGCAGGGAACTTCTACTTAGTCTGAAGATGCCCACGCGTCCATTCCTCTCTTGCATCCCTGTATTCACTCCCACATGCCAAGGGGCTACTCGGGAGGGCAGTGTGGCTGAGCACACAGGTGTGGGCGAGACGTGTCTGGAGGCGGAGACTGAGCGCCCTTCCTGGGCCCGTGGCAAACACCTGCCTGCAAGCACCCATCTGCACTCTTCAAGACCCACTCCCTGGATCTGCCGCGCCTGGGTGGGGAGCGCTGCAGTTCCTTCCCCGGGTGGGTGGGCCCGCCCAGAGGCCTGCACCCGGTCGGACTCGGGAGGGGAGGGAAAGTGCGCCGGGAGGCGGAGGCCGGGTGGAGACGCCATGCCCGCAGCGGGAGCTCCACCTGTTGCAGCGCCTGAGCGAGCCAGGCCAGCAGGGCAGTGCCCCGGGCGTGGACCCTGCTCCTGAAGCGCTGTTCTGCAGAGCAGAGCCGCGCCGAAGAGGGGACCTGAGGACAGTCCTGGACAGAGTGCAGGAGGGGGCCTCCCGGGAGGCAGAGAGTCCAGCCTGAGGCTGTGCCGTAAGGCCCCCCTGAAAGGCAGAGATCCGGGGCAGGCTTCCTGGGCCAGGAGCCCCTGCTGCTGCTCTGCATGGGGGGAATTTTGTGCCGCGCCCCGCAGCTACTAGTACTTTCTGAGCTCACTGATATGGGCTGCCGGCTGAGAGGGTGGAACTCAGCCTCCAACCAGTCCTCAACCTCCCCGAGCTGGCTGGCTGGGGACGCTCACACCGGCGGAGCGAACACGGGGATCGGGAAGATGCCCCTGCTGACCCAAGGGGCGCATGGTCGGGCAAGCGAGAGGGAGGCCGCCTGGGGAGATGCCCCAACTTCCCCTGGTCCGCTCATTCCCATTCCTGGTCTCCTCCTCCAGCCCGTCCGCCTGGATGCCGCAGCGTGGGGGGCCCATGCTATGTGGGAACCCCGTGGACCTGCCCAAGTAGCCCTGGGGGGTGCGCCCGCCGGGAACCTGCTCTGGTCTTCGGCCCCGGCGGCTGCGGGTAACTACCCAGAGGCCCGAGTCCCCGCGCCACGCAAAGCGATCAAGTGCACGCAGCACCACTGAACCATCTGGGGAGGCACCACCGGCTGGCACACTGCCACCCCCGCCCCGCCGTCGGCGGTTTGAGAAGGATGGCTGAAGCCGGACGACTGCCGGGCCCCTGAGACCTTCTGCCCGGGAGAGGAGAAATTCGTCCGCCCCAACTTGCGCTGAGGACGCTATCACGCCCCTCCCCCAATCCAAGCCGAGCTTGGGCGCGTCGGTGGAAACAGCCGCCTGGCCGGAAAAAGCCAAGAAGAAGCGGACTGTGCCCTGGTCACCGGACCTGAGCGTTTAGGAACTCCAAGGCGCGTGTGGGGAACGGAGGCGGACAAAGCGATTTGAAACCAGAGTCGAGGCGGACGTGAGCTGAAAGAGCAGCATGGGCCGATGAGGGCGGCGGCCTGGGGAGCCCGCGGTCGGGCGTCACACTGTCGGCGTCCGGGGGGCGGGCTGACGCGAGCCCGGCGGCCTGGGCGAGGTCACTACGGCTGCCCAGCGGGATCGTTTCGGGGCCCCGCGACTATTGGCCGGGGTTGCGGCTCGCAGCTGCGTGGCCCGGGCCACCTGAACGAGGACAACGCGCGCTTCCTGCTGCTCGCCGCGCCCATCGTGCTCTACCTGCTGGGCGGCGCTGTTTGTTCTCTTCGAGGCTGAGCTGGCGCATTGAGCGCCAGGCTTGGCGAAAGGCTGGGGAGGAGCGCCCGGGTCAACTTCAGCCGCCGCCACACAACCTGAGCTTTTCAAGAGAGCTGCGCGGCTTCCTCCACATCACGAGGAGGCCACTGAGGCTGGTATCCCTGCGTGGGATATGCCCCGTCAGTGTTGGGACTTCACCGTGCTCTTCTTACTTCGTGGGCACCTGTCAAACCAATTATAGGTGGCAGGGCGTCGCTGGGGGCGGAGGGGCGGCCGGCCCTGCTGGCATTTTTTTCCCTGCCTAGCTGCTTCTGTCTTGGCGTTCTTCCGCCTCCGCGCTCAGCCCGGTTTGCAGATGTGAGCTGTTGCCTGATCAACAGGTGGTGTTGCTCCCTGGCCTGAATGTGTCTCCAGAGCACCTGCAGCTGCATCACCTGGGAGATGGCTAGGAATGCGGTCTCAGCCCCCTCCCAGACCTCCCGAGTCGGGCCTGCTTATTAGCATGTCTGGTGGGTGGGGAGGTTGAATGATTTTGACTGTTTGGAAGAAGGGTTTTCAGCCTAGGTGAGGGAAACCGAGCTGAATCCTGATTTTAGGGGTGGAAAGCTGTAAATCGGAATATAAAACCCCAGCAACATATTGTTTTACCTTAGGACTCGCAGTGAGGTAAGGGTTATTGGGGGGGAAGAAATTAAAAGATTGTCCGTGGTTTCACACCACAGAGAGAAGAATTGACTGATCAGCCTAAATGTCCAGGGAGGAAAAAAAAAGCAATGACGATGGAAGGAAGTGGGGGCGGGTGACCTTCTGGCTAACCATAGTGTTAGTGGGGTCAAGACTGTTGCTTGGCAATAATAGAGAGAAGAGAATTGGGGTTGCCCCATGAGTCACCTGAACGAGCAGGAGAAGGTTCTCTGGGTTACAGGCATAGTGGGGGACCTGACTGTCCGAGGAGCTAGAACTGATTCAGAGGCAATTTGGGAGCCATTGAGAGTTTTTTTGAGCAAGAGGACACAGGCTATGGGAATGGTTATGCCTTCTATTCAGCAGAAGAAATATTGGGAAGGCCTGTACCTGCATTCTGAAGACTGTCTTACCTTTGTACATAATCGGAAATAATAAGGGGTTGGGGGAAGCATGGCACTAAATTCTGAGAAAGGAGGAAACAGTTTATCAGGGCTTTGAAAGATGACCAGCGGGGCGGTGAGCTGCCAGCCGCCAGAGGGAACAGCAGTGGCGCGGCCGAGTGCTCCGTGGCCGGGACTCCCCAGCCGGGAGGAGAGCTTGTCAGTGAGGCGGGTGATGGTAAGGCAAACTTGCTAAGCTCCCACTATGGTTGTTCAGGGTCGAGGCTCTGCCAGGAGCGTGGAGCACAATAGATCAGCCTCAGCCCCTGGATTAGTCCAGAAAGATTGTCTAGAAAGCCCAGTTTCAGCTGGGGAGTAGGAGGCAGGCCGGGACTGCATGGTGTGAGGGACACATGGTTTCCTTCTGAAGTGCCTTTTGTGCAGCAGCACTCATTCAGCCCCTAGTAATCCCAGGCCCTTCCTGTTTAATCGGGGCTCCCTGCCCACCAGTAAAGGACGAGTGAGACACAGCTACAGGGTGGTAAGACATAACTGGTAGCATCTTCTCTGTGATGATTAAAAAACACCACACTCGGGCCGGGGGCTGATAGAGGAGTACAAGTCATCACGGCTCTCTGTCCCAGCCCACAATCTCTGCCGGGCTCTCACAGGAATTTAAATCTCCAGTGTGTCAACCTTGTCTCTGAAGGTGGTTCCAGCACTTTCATGCAGAGAGGACTGGGGTGAAAACAACCCGCCGAAGTATATTACTGTGAGCTGACCTGACTCTGTGTCCGCATAGTTAGTGCGGTGTTTTTATTCAGAACACACTATCTGGAGCGTGGCTTGGGGAGATTGGGGAGCCAACCACCCCACTCACCACAAGCTACCCCTTTTACCACGCCCCCTCAGGGAGCAGAGATAGGAAGAGCAGCTTGTGTATGTATAGACTGGAATTCATGGTGCCTTTCAAACTGAGAATGTCACGATAGGTGGCGTAAATGACACAGGCTCTTGAGGGGCAATGACACAATGGAGCCTGTTGGAGCAGAAGTGAAAACTGGACCAGGAGTCTGGAGTTGAGCCATGGGTCCTCACTTCTTGGGCAAGTTTCTACTCCATTCTCCTGAGCCCCATTTCTCACAATTCCTGAGACATCTAAAGTGCTACACCTTCCTTGGGATTGGCACATGTTAGCCATTGAAATATTAAGCCTGCCTCCTGCCCACTCCCCTCTCCCTAACCCTGATCCTCCTGGGCAATTTTATGGGGAGAATATCATGTGTTTAACGTTTACAAAGCCCAAGTAGTGGGGTTTTTTTTTGTTTTTTTTTTTTACTTCTCAATCTCTTGAAGATTTTAGATTCGTTTCACCGTTTTCAGAATTTTGATGCACCCTACAATTCCTATTAGTGTGCCACATTAGGTACATACTGCGGGGATTATTACGAACATGTGATGCACATCAATGCATTACACTTTATTTAGTTCTCGAATCACCGCTAACTCATGAGGTAGAAGACTATAACCTCACCTTATTAGATAAGGAGAGTCTTCACCACTTTAAATATGAAAAGAAGAAAAAAGTGAAACCATCGGCAGTGAGCATCAAATCTCAAGTTGGTTCATTGTTAATTGGCCATGTTTTTCTTTGTCCTGCATACACATATGTACATATAGTATTTTTAAATTGGGATCCTATTCAGTAACCTTTTATCTTGTATTTATGCAACACATATATGATGGGGTTTTTTGGGGGGTTTGTTTGTTTCTCGGTCTAAAGAATTCACCATGCTTTATTCAGAAGACTTTAAGTATGCAAGAAAGACACAGTGGGAAGAATTTTAAAAAAATGTAAATAAACTTCAGGTAAAGAAGAACAGAAATATGGAAGCAAATGGATCTAGAAAGCACAGGGGAGCTTTGTCTGTAGGTTCCTTCAGAAGCAGACACTGAGTCAAGAATTTGAGAGGATCGGTAGTGCAGGGGACACAGGCAGTGAAGGAGGAAGACCCAGAAAGGGAAGTAAGTCACCGTGGGGTCTGCTGTTAGCAGGAACTGTAGTTGGCCACCGACACCTGGGTCCAATCCAGGCTTGAACAATGTGTGCCTGCGGGTCTAGAATGACCCTTCTAGGTAAGGGTTCAGGCATTCTGCACCCACACCTGTCGAATTAATTAAAGTGGCTGAGAGCAGGGAGAGCACAAGAATAATTCCCAGGTAGGGATTTCCCCCACCATCCCAAAGTGGAGCGGTTTTTGCTTTTTTTTTTTTTTTTTTTTTTTTTTTTTTACTGAACTGGCGTAAAAAGATGAAACAATTAGCATTTCCTAAAGGAAAAACCCTCTGGTTTCTTTCAGTTAGCAATGACAAGTACTAACGTAGGGCTTTCATAAAAGCAAAGCGGCATAAGGCAGACTTACAGATAATGGGGAAAACCTGTACTCTTGGCCTTTTTTTTTTTTTTTTTTTTT